GGGTCCTGCCTGGCGCTGGCGGCTCCCGAGTTCAAGCCCCGGGCGGGACGGAGGCACGCGGCCAGCAGAGCTGTCCGGCGTGAAGCCCGGCGCCTCGGGCGCTCAGGCCTCCCTGCAGCCTCCACGGCCGCACCACACACCTAAGGACCGGAAGGTTCCAGAAAGGAGCTCTGGAAAGTTCTAGAAGAGAGGCGGGCCCAGGACAGCCGGTTTGGCCTCTGCACCTCGGCCCACCCGGGTCCACCGGGGTCGCAGACGCGCAGGGCGGCTGCTGACATCGCAGGGGCGGACCCACCTTCATGGGGCGGCGGACACAGGCCGGCCGGCCGGACGACAGACAGGCAGACAGACGGGACAGACCGACCGGCAGGCAGGCAGACAGACCAACAGACAGACAGATGGACAGACAGACGGGACAGACCGACCAGCAGGCAGGCAGACAGGCCGACAGACGGACAGACAGATGGACAGACAGACAGACAGACCGGCAGGCAGGCTGACAGACAGACAGACGGGACAGACAGACAGACAGACGGGACAGACAGACAGACAGATGGGACAGACAGACGGGACAGACAGACAGACGGGACAGACAGACAGACCGGCAGGCAGGCAGACAGGCTGACAGACAGACAGACAGAAGGACAGACAGACAGAAGGACAGTCAGACAGACAGAGAGACGGGACAGTCAGACAGACAGGCCAAAGGGCAGGGGCCTGAGCCACTCCCGGCCCTGGCTGCATCCTCAGCTCTCGGCCCCCAGGGCCGGGATTACAGGCGTGCGTGCGGAGCCCGGCCGCTCCCTTTGTCTCTCCGGCCCACAAGTCCACCTGCCGGGGCGCCAGCCCGCCACGGCCTTCCTTCAAGGCTTGGTGTCCGGCGGGGCCGGAGTGGCGGCCCGGATCCAACCCGACCGGCCTCCGCACACTCGGCTCCCAAGGACGTCGCTCCAGCCTCCAGAACACACAACAAGGTGTGTGGGGGGGGGCAGTCGTGGGGCTCGAACTCAGGGCCCGTGCCCTCCAGGCTGGCGCTCTACCCCTTGAACGGAGAAATGCCAGCCACCAGATCTGGTTAAGGCCGGTGTGTGCCCTTGGAGTTGCTCCGAGCCGGGCACTGTGGCTCACGCCTGTAACCCCAGCGCACGCGCACCGCACACACTGTAGAAGGTCTCAGGGTTTAACCTCCTGTTCCTTCAGAGAACCAACCAAGAATGGAAAGGCGAGGCCCAATCACCCTTGAGCTAGAGAGCGGCCCTCTGTGTGGGTCAGTACTGAGGCTCGAACCCGGGGCCGGCGTGTGGGCGTGGTGGCTTCTGTCCAGGCTGGCGGCGCTCCACTACCTGAGCCACAGGTCATAGTGGACCGGCCAGTCTGGCTCCGAATCTCCACCCTGAGAAGCCAGGATTACAGGCGTGAGGCACGGCGCTCAGCGGTTGAGTAGCTGCTGGGTTTACGGCGCCCCACCTTTCGTCAACCCATCCCTTTCCCGGGGTGTCCTCGGGGTGGCCGGCCCCGGTGCCAGCTGGCTCACTGCGGCGCTTTTATATTTATGGAGAGCAGGCTGGAGAGGCGTCCAAGTCTCTCTGAGTTTAGAATTGCCTTCACAGCAGAAACGGAAGTCTCGAGAGCCACCAGGAATCCGCCCCGGGACACACAGGCTGGCGGCCTCCCGAGCTTAATCAAACTATGAGCTGTCTTGGCCAGGACGGCAGACAGGTGCCACTGGGCCCAGCCGCCGAGTGAAATGGGGTCTTCGTAACTTTGTGTGTGCGTGTGCGCTGGTCCTGGGGCTTGAACTCAGGGCCTGAGGCACAACCCCTTAGCTCTTCATTCAAAGCTGGTGTTCTACCACTTGAGCCACCTTTCTATTTGTGGCTTTTTGGGGGGAGGCCTGGGCTGGCCTCCAGTGACGATCCTCAGATCTCAGCCTCCTGGGTAGTAGGCTAGGATTAAAGGCGCGAGCCACGGCAACCAGACTGCTCAGGTCTCCTTCCTTCCTTCCATGCTAGTGCTAGAATTTGAACTCACAGACTTTCCTGCTGGGGCTGGCTTTCCACTGTGAGCCCCAGCTCTCAGCCTCCTGCGTAGCTGGGATTCCAGGCGTGAGCCACAGTGCCCGGCTTGGCTTCTTTGAGGGGGACATGTTGTTTTTCTTTTGGATCTGTGCGTGCTGCGCCCTGTCCCTTCGCTCAGGGGAAATTCTAACAGCCCGATAATTATCACGTGGCGGAAGGCCTGCCGCTCATTAGCATACGATTAGCATGTCTTTCGCATAGCACCGGATCTCCCCCCCCATTCAGTTATGATACCACTGCTGACCCCTAGCACGGCGTCTCTCCTTCCATTTCTTTCTGTGTGTTGTGTTGCGCATGCGCCGGGCCTGGGACTCGAACTCAGGACCTGGACGCTGTCCTTCTTGCTTTATTCAATCACCCAGCAAGCATCTTCCCACTGGAGCCACAGCTCCACTTCTGGCTGTTTGCTGCTTTGGCTATTTCTGAAGTCGGCTCCAGGCCGGACTTTAATCCGCCTATTTGTCCTTCCTGGAGGGCTGGGATTCGGGGCAGACGCTACCACGCCCAGCCACTGTCCCCCGCCTTGTGGTGGCTGG